TTCTTACTCTTTTTCCCTTTTTAAAAACTTACTTCATTCCTTCTCATTCTCACTCTACTAAATTAAAAATTGGTATCTCTTTATCTGACGCTTATAGTGGAAATACTATCAAAAGGACTATAAAACGGAATGTTCAATGTCCAGTATGTAATGGAAGTGGTGCTGCACATTCACATGCCATTCATAAATGCTCAAAATGTGGGGGAAAGGGGGTGGTTAAGGAAAATCTAAGAATGGGATTATTTACCTATGAACATTTAATTACTTGTCCCATTTGTGGAGGAAGTGGAAATGAAATCACAGAAAAATGTGAGAAATGTAATGGTAGTGGAAGAGTGTCTGAAACCACCGAATTTAATATTACCATTCCTAAAGGTAGTAAAACGGGGGATATTCTCAAAATAAAAAATATGGGTGAAATGGGTAGTACGCTTCTTTTATTATTAACTGTTAATGACGAAGAGAAGAACTTTAAACGTCAAGGCGATGACTTATTAACTAACCTAACAATTACTTTGAAAGATGCACTCTTAGGATTTAAAAAACAAATCCCCCACTTAGATGGTCATCAAATATCCATTGAACAAAACGGAGTCACAAGTGATGGTCAAATTATTCGAATCAAAGGTGAAGGGATGAAAAAGAACTTTTTATTTAATGGGGATTGTTTAATTTCTATCCACGTTGATATGCATTCAATATCTCCTGATCAAGCACTGAAAATAGCTAAAGTATTAAATCAAACTAATTAATTCATTGTCCATCCATCTCTTTTTCATTCATTTGTAATGTTAATCAATGGTTTAATTAATGAATTTTTGGTTTAGAGTTGTAAATCTTTTTTTAAAGAAAGTTTATAAATTGCAAGTAGACAATATATATTCAAGAAACTTGAATGACTCATTCTTAATACAAAAGTTAATTTTACCAGACTTAGTTGTTTCTTTGTATAATTAAAAAAAATAGTTGTAATTTAACCAGATACTATCATCCAGTATCTGGTTATAAAAAACAACTAATACTCTAAAATAAAATTTCATTTATGTAAAAATATCCAATATGGAAGTCGCACTTGTTTTTTCCTGATAGAAAATAATATCTTACATAAGAAATAAAGGATTAACAACTAAAAACTTATAAATTAAAGTACAAATTTTGTTTATAAGTTGTTACATGTATATTATGTCTTGCACCTCCAAAAAGCATTTATTTTTATTAGTTTGTGTTAGTTTGTTTCTAATATTTGAAGATTTTGTTTTTTGAGAGAAGACTATCAAGAAAATCAATATCTCATCAATATTTGAGATTTTATAAAATAATTTTTATGTTTTATGAAAGGACAAATAAAAACGAAAATTTTACTCCTTTATATTCTCAAAAGACAATATTGAGACTTACAATCCAAGAATAAAATTTCACAACTTAGTTGAGACTTAAAAGTTAACAAACACAATAACTTCAAGAGCGTACTGCTACTTAAACAAAAAAACATCCATACATAGCACATAAAAGTAATGAGAGAGAAGGTAAATGATTTTTGTTCTACGTTATTCATATCATTGCCTTACTATTCGGTTTCTCAGCTAATAAGCCAATCGCTTATTAGTGATTGGTAGATATAAACAAATTAAAACGAGATAGAAGATAATTTAAAGAAAGAAATTTCAAAAAAGGATGATGAACTTTTTTATTTATTTTCAGTTTATTAAATGGAAATACCTGATGGTGTTTGTAAAGAATTAAATCAAGAACTTACTGTTCTTTCTGAAGACCAATTAAAAACACAATGTGAAAATATTGTGCAAGAAATTTGTAATGGAGATGAAATGGATAGTAGAAGTGATACGTTATATGAGTGTATTTGCCTTGTCTTTTTGGAAGGAGCAAAAAATGATATTGAAAAGGATCAATTTATGGAAGTATTAGAAGCAAACGAAATTGGGAATAAACAGAAAAGAAGTGTTTTAGCAGAGATATATGATTTGCATAAGGAGGTGCTTAGGAATATCTTAAAAGAAACAACAACAATATTAACAAAGATTATAGGAGTGAGTTGGAAATTAGACTTTTTTGTTCGTCCTGAGCATAAAGAAATTAGTCCTGTCTTTCTTGTTACACTTAAAACAAAAGAACAAAACAATGAGGGGAAACTTGACTTTGTTTGCACACATGAAGAAATGGAAGATTTGATTACCAAATTAAAAGATGCACAACAACAAATTGAACGATCAGCAAGTCATGTTTAACAAGAATGTAATTTTTGTGTTATTGAGTTTATTTTATGTTATTAAAGAAAAAATAAAAATGATAAAAACTTCAAGAGAAAAAAAGAAAAAGAACTTAAAACAAATTAACCATTAAATAAGTATGGAAAGCCTTATTAAGGATTTAAATAAACAAAAAGAAACTAAAAAGGAAAGAGTGA